ATGATTTCCTGCATTGTAACCTAAATTGATAGTTTGACTCATGAAGGTTGCTGGCTGATCTTTTAATGTTCAATTAATATTTCTTTCTAATAAACGAGTAGTTGTTTATACTCTGAAATACATTATTAATATTAATAGTTATTCGATATAGTCGTGAAACACTAATACCTATATCGATTAGGAATTGACCCGTGAATATTCTCGTGGCATCGTGATTGTTATTCGCTTAAGATGATATGTACATTTGAGTAGATACAAGTATACCCAACCTATAAGCTTCCAAATTAATCCCATCGAAAGCGAATATTCGATTAACTCTACCGATCGACCCAAATTCGTGAGTAGTAAAACCTAATTTACAGGTCACTAACTGTCGTCGTATTTAACTAAAATTAGGAAAAGCCCAGCTCCGTTTGAAAAATAGTAAATTTCAAGGTCAGAGATCAATTGCTCTCCCGCAATTGTTGACTCGACGAAGCGATGATGTAAAGAAGTTATTGCAAATGAATATCAATAAAATCTACTTATTTTTTACGCTTTTATTTGATATACGATATGTGCAATATTTACAGCAACATTTGTTTCAAGTACTTGAACCTCAGCATGACCTTTTCGCGTGAATTAAACAAGATAAACAAGAATTCATACAAAACTATTAGCGATTCGAAGGTTCAAACTAATCTTGGCGACTTCTTTACAATTAATTGACCGATTTGTAATATTTAATGCACCGAGTAATAAAGCGAATTATTATTTTAGCTAAATGCGCATTTATTTAATATTCATTATGCTTAACCGAAGGAATCGATATCATGATATAACCTTTGGTTAACACGAGTGACCACGTTGTTCCAAAGACCCTGTTATACCGAAGGAAAATGCCCGACGGACGCCTTCATTATAACGGGGTTGCCTTTGTGTTACGCAAACATTAAAGATGTGTGTTTACATACTGTAGTGACGTTTATACTTCCTAAATGGTGTAAAGTGCAATTAATGTCTGGTGAAGTACTGTCTTCGAATTAAACACACTTACACCTACCTCAAATTAGTTTTGTAAGTTCCTACTATAAAACATTGGAGCGTATATTGGATTATGGTCTTAGCTAGTTCCTGATTAGCTAAACCTCATTCTTGTAAAAATCTCCACATAAATTGTAGAAGGAAAACCATACCATTACACTAATAGATAAAAGGCCAAGCTTGTTTGTCTTTTTGATGTTACATTTAGCAAATAAACCCGGCTCAAAGAAATCCGATAATTTTTTTCTTCTCCAATGTCCGCGTGCCACTTGCTTTAATAGAATACGTAAAGTTATGATACCAAGCTACTTTTTCGTTTTCAGCATACAAACGATGCTTACCTCGTCGGAGTATCACAAAATAATGACATATTGTTCTTCAAGATGAGGCGGGTGGTAATATATAGATGACCGGGTGTGTAAAAAGATTTCTGTAAAGAAAAAACGCCTGATCGGAGCAAACATAACGTACGGTAAGCAGACGCGCTGAAGGGGTGATTGTTTACACACGCTTCCAACCTACAGGTACGCGTATAATATTTTAGAACGCCACAGCGTAGGAATATATGTAAAATAATATTATTACATACAGGCCAATTCGGAAGTTCGCGTCCCATATTTCAGAATATCCTCGCAACAAGTATAAATACTTGGCTCCCCCTCTATGAATGTCAACTATTCGATACGTTGCTACTCATCTTGTGAGTGAGAGATGTTTGCGAACGTGGTAGATGTCAGGTGAGCATTATCGAATACAATTTTTTCAATGCGATATTGCATAATTTTTTGTAAAGTCCTGATCCCCGAGATGGTTAATCCTGTTTAGGTAAACCCGCTTGGTATGCTGCCACCTCAACGTGGTAAGTGGGTGGCAACGTTTATTTACTATAATAAACGGCGAAGAGCAGCATATTAATGACTCTTAATGGTTGGAGTTTTGCGTTCTTTATTTGTTTACACCTACGATGACTCTTAATGGTTGGGGGAGGGTAGAATTAATTCATCTTATATGGCAGCTTAATTAAATCCTAGTCTGAAATTTTTTAATTTGATGAGAACACAGTGAAATTCACTTTAACGTTGCTTTGATAATCTGTTATTCCAAAAGTAATGTAATAATTAACGTGATTTTAGTCAACAAATAAAATATTAGATCAAAGTACACAATACAAAATTTCTATATAATACACTAAATAGCATCGTCTTCACTATTACTCAATAATTATGATATTGCAAGTGAATCTTAAGGTTTGCAATTCCATTTAACTCCTCTTGTTGCATGTATAACAAAAAGACTGTCAATAATGTTACTAGCTTTTGCCGATATTATCTTTCTCACTCTCCAGTTCCTTTTTTTGAGCAATTGTAAGTGTGTTCGTGGTTTTTTTAACATTAATGTCTCGTGTGAGAACTTTTTTTGAAGTTAATTCCAGCATCTATTATTTGGCGGCGACACTAATAGAGAGCAAGCTTATAATAGAAAAAAAAAACAATATAGCAAGACAAGAGAAATGCTCTTACAGTCTTTATTGAAAGAAACTGAAAGGAGACACAATGTGGAAGCTTTAGATCTTTATTGATGGTAGATTGAAAGATTAGGATTCTGATTCGTTAATTGTATAGCGAACTTTTTTATAGTTTAACGAAATTCACCATATTATAAGGAACCTCGTTATACAAATAGATTTGCCTAAGTGAACGGTTTTATAACGCATGGGTTTGTGAAAACTTCGTTCAACGTTATTATTGTATAACACTTTATATATAATCTTCGTTTATCCAAAAAATACTTCGTTATAAGCCATCTTCAAGTGAAAGTTCGTTAAATACTATTGTGTTATTATCACGTGAGCTACTTGTATAGCATCTGCTGTAATTTCACAAGTGAAATCGTTGAGTAGTGAGTAGTAGTGACAAGCTTGTTGAAAATAAATCGAATGTTGGTTCTCTAAGTAATAGTTAATAGGTGGATGTATCGGTGGGTGTAAGGGTTAGTGCGTTTCATTATGCATAGGATCTGCAAACCAGTAACCCGAAAGAGTAAGCTTTTTGGAGCGCGTAAACATTTTGTTGTGCCGAATTACAATTGTTGATTCTGTAAGTTGGCTCTTTTAATCAATTTGCGGCAATTCCACGGAATTCTCTCTATATGCCGACTGTTCACATCTTTTCCCATCATTCAGAAGAAAAAAAATCGGTTTAGTGGTTTTAAATTTCAGGTTCATCCGCAGCAGCGCGAATAAACAGAGACGACTAGCGGGCACGGTCAGCCTACGTTCAGACTCATGCGTGTAATGGATACCGAAGATAATCCATAAACAGTGTTATTATCATTTTTTAGAATCCTAGTCCATAACATGGACGATATAATAATCTGTCTATTACGAGTAATTCTCATTAGCTATCGAACACAAATATACCATCATTGTGTTAATAATATGAAGAATACGTGTAATACAGGTATAATTGACTAGTTATTTTGTATTAGCATACATGCCCGACTATGGCATACGAGTACGGTTAGAAGTTGTTTGAGTATTCACAAACAGTATATTAGCTGCTATAGTTTTGAAATAATTCCGACTAGCAGCAGTCAGATTAAACTATACGACCAATTTAGAAACATGTTCAGCAAGAGCGTAAATATACGTTGAACTGTGAACCATATAGGCGCTAACTGAGAAAGTGATTAAATAATGAAGGTTCAATAAGACTAGTTCTCAAATGTATATCATAGTCTCCTAACACGACAGTGACCATTCCGGGATATGGAAAGTCTCGAACTTTATGCCGAGTAAGTTTTAAAATAGTGTTACTTATTAAGCGGTTTTAGCTTTTGACTTACTACAAAGTTTGTCGCCCGCCCCCTAATCGCCCATTTCTCAATCTTTAGCGATTCCAGTCTACTACTGCGTTTTTAGTGAAGCAAGAATCCTGATCAACAACCAACAAACGAATTTAATTGTGAAAAGTTAATTGTGAAAAGCAATATTAATATAGACTTGTGATCTTTTTAATAATAAACTTTTAGGTTCATCAGGCGCTCATCAGAATGGAGAGTTCAGTAATAGTAATGACTGTTACTATGTAAAATTTAATTTGTTATCCGACAGTTATAAACAAAATTCATCCTTCACCCCTTTTCCAAGTTTGGGTTTTGCAATCAACTGCAAAAGAGGTTCAATTGTGTCAGAATTATGTTACCGAGATCAATCAAATGTTTCGTGCTGGCTGAATTCTTTATAAAAAAGTAACGCGATCAATTTATTTATTGCATCATTGATACTCACGGCTGAAAGATTTTCTTGTCATTAGATTCGGCTCGGTTCTTTCGGTCAAGAAACGTGTGCAACAAGCTCAGACTCCCACCCCCCCAAAAAAACGGGGTAGGACAACCTCCTTTGAACACGCCCCATAAAATCGAGTTAACAATATAAATGCAACGATGTCTAGTGCGTCATTTTACATGTTGTACAAACAAATCATGTTGGTTACTGGATTCGCTGGTATCTTTAATCGAGCATCAATATCAATGTGTGCTTGATTTTCAGTATAATGGTAAATGAATTTTGATAACGATATGTTGAATAAACATACCCGAGCCATCCCGATATGGAAATTGATCTGCGTTATTTTTAACATTAACCAAATCGAGTTTCGTTCCCACTCTACCCTGTGGGTTGCTATCCTGATTGGGATATTAAAGCAACAGTGGACCCAATGAGTTGCCTTACCTTTACGCCAAATAGTCTCACTTGGCACGGGGCGCTTACAAGGGTCACCAGATCTGTGGGGTATTATAAAAAATAGAGGATAAGAATTTTGCCTGAATCTGGGGATTTCCTTTTTGATTGACCCTTTGTTCAGAAAAATTCAACTTGCTCAAAAGTCTTGTCGTCGGTATTCTTTATACATATCAATAAGTTATAATACTACCCACACTGGAGAGATATAGCATAGCGCAGCAGGGATCACAACATGGGATCACCAGATTCGAAAACCTCACTCGTGAAGAACCGCCATGACACTGGTGGGGCTTACCAGAGTATAGGGCGTCCGGACGAGAAACCAGGGTTGAGTACGTGGGATATGATCCTGTTAACCTTGAATTTGGCTGGAATACAGTTTACTTGTAAGTAAGTCGAATAAAAAAGGACGAGGGATCAAATGTGAGGAAAAAAGAGTTTATTTAATAGATCATTGTTTAATAGGAAGTTGTGAAGCTACTGGTTTATTTAGTTGTGAAAATAATTGGGGATATTCGAGTGGTAATGTCATATTATTGAATATATCCTCAACTCGATTGATGAGTTGATCATCTCTTGTTTTGGAATCATCCCTTCGCTTTGATCTTTGTCTCTGTGTAAAGTTACCTTATATAAACAATCTTACACAACACTATTCACAATATTTTCTCTCCCTGATCTTTGTTATAGGGACTGTTGAACTATCGTGAGTACCTTTTTCTGTTTATGCGGGAACGTTGATATTTGAACAGGCAACAAACGATAACGCTTCTCGTTGACCATAAACAATTATGACTCCTTGGCATTGTACAATCTTATAACCACTCATGCATCCTCTCAATAACAGTTATGGTACTCCATACTTACTCCACCTTGGTCTATCCAAGAATCAAGTTGCATTAGTGTGGCTTGCCGGTCCACTCTCCGGACTCATAATTCAACCCCTTGTTGGTGCTTTCAGTGATCGTTCTACTTTCCGTCTTGGTCGTCGAAGACCCTACATCATCATTGGTGGTCTATTGGTGTGTTTATCAATGATTGCGGTCGCATACAGTAAAGAATGGGCTGATATTTTTGTTAGATGGAAAGGATGGGAAGATTCTGAACATACGGTGAGTATAGGAAATGCGGAAAACGAAGTAACTTTGGCGGGGTGTGAGTGGGTTCGGCGTTAATTTATTTTTTGTTGTTAGTGCTCTGCTGATCTTCCCACACTATTTATATCATCGTCTCTTTTATACACTAGAAAACCTCGATCGCTATATGGATCGCAGTAGTAGCTTTCTATTTTCTCGATTTTTCACTCAACGCAGTGATGGCATCTTGTCGAGCTTTGATTCTTGACATCCCTCCTCCCCGGCAACAAGAGCTTGGTAATGCGTGGGCAGGGAGAATGATTCACTTTGGGAATGTCATTGGCTTTACTGCTGGATACATAGACTGGATCGGATATTTTCCTCTATTGGGAGATAGTCAATTGAAAGTATTATGCTCGATTGCAATTCTCACCCTGGTTTTATCTTTATTGGCGACTTGTTTGAGTGTTAGTGAAGAAGCATATGTAAATATTGACGAGAATAATGAGTAAGTATCTCGGAATGTATCTAATGTTGGTTGGAATGTGATCTAATAATGGCATTATCCGTTCTTCTGTAGGCCATGGTATTATACTTTGGTATCCATTTATAGAGCATTTAGATATTTACCCGTGCCAGTACAAAAAGTCTGTAATGTACAGTTTTTTGCATGGATGGGATGGTTTCCATTCTTATTTTACAGGTAAATAATATTACTGGTACTTGGAATTTACCTGCCAGGTCGCACAACAAGACACGTCGTACAGTCCATAATATTTCTATTTACCATCTGAAGGAATAATATTTCGACTTGGCAGGTAAATTCCCGATAATGAAGAATAGTAATTAATAGATAATCTACGTCATGTTTATTAGTACGACTTGGATTAGAGACATCCACGTAACAAACAATCCACACAATGACAATGCATACGAAGAAGGCACTCGTTATGGCTCGCTTGCTCTTCTTCTCTATTCAATAATCTCAGTAATTGCAGGGGTTATTCTCCCACAACTCACCGCCACATCAACTCCCATATGTAACCAATTTACAATATACAATATCTACACTGCATCGCATATTATGTTTGCACTTTCGATGCTTGCCACATACTTTGTTGGTGATGTTCCACAAGCAATGGTCGTTCTCGCCTCTGTAGGGATACCTTGGGCAGCGTCTATGTGGATTCCATATGCGCTGGTTGGTGAATTTGTTGCCATTAAAGACGAGAGAGCTATCGCTGCTAATGCAGACATAAGGCCAGTAGATAACCACGATATCGAACAAGTGATTGCTGAATCTTCATCTTCTGCATCAGAAAGTACTCTGCCACTATCCCTGGATGAGGAAATAAAAACTAATGATGAAAATTCTAGAACGGAAGATGCTTCAGACAATGAAGAAGAAGAAGAATTTGATGCTGGAACAGTTCTTGGAATACATAACATGTATATTGTTTTTCCTCAATTTGTTATCTCATTGATAAGTTCGGCTATTTTCTCTGTTGTTGAAGCTAAGAGACAGGGATTACATGATGGAGAAGGCGATGAAGGGGTAGCTGGTGATGTTGGTATCGTGTTAAGGTTCGGAGGATTAATGGCGATAATAGCAGCTATCCTATCAAGAAGTTTGGTCCATATACCAATTACGGGGAGGTAGTACGTTTACGCACATTGACAGAATATATAAGGATGTCTCCCGATTCATTTAATAATCTGAAGAAGTTAATGCTAGATCAGATGGCCAGAATAGAATTTATTTCTACGGAGAATGGACCATCAATACGAACAAGTTAATAAATAAATAATAGTCTTTATGTACAAAGAAAGATTGCGTGACTTAACGTTGGAAGGAGGGCCATACGCATCATACTAATACGATACGCCAGAAGTGGATTAGTCATGCCACAAAAAAGCGGCAGTCCCATAACAAGAAATGCTTCTTCTATGAACATCTACCATAGAATATTATTGATTCATGAGCTTTGCGCGTTTTTGTAATCAAAAGTAATCTCAATACATATAAAGTATAAACAGGAAGAATAATTAAAATGTCAAGGCTCCCTTAAAACAGACAATTGAATGAGACAAGCTACTACACTAAATAACCTTACAAAAAATCATGTCACGTAAAATTAATTACCTTATCCTGAAATTGTGTTACGGCATCTATCTTGGAAACGGGAACTTTACTAGCGACGGGGGGAAAAAATTTTGTCTCGTGTCGGAATCGAACCGACGACCTACCGCGTGTTAGGCGGTTGTGATAACCGACTACACCAACGAGACTTTGCTATTATCGATTGGCTTGTTATATCTTAAGTGCACTAGCTTGGTCGGAATGTAAAAGAACATAGTAATAGTAATAGTGTCCTGATCATAATAAGTATTGAGTGATCAAGTCTTGATGTATTTGCAAGAACGTGATACTATCTAAAAAGAGTTATGAAATAACAATTCATTTCTATTGAAGATAAATATAAACGTCTATTAGCATTAATGCCTTGTTCTTAGTCTAAGTGACAAATGTGTCTTTAATTCGTCCCGGATTTTCGGACGTTTGCTTTATTCATCCGATACACATTATTTATTATGGTATTTGATGATATAAATTAAGTATTGTAAATGTTTCAAACCGATACACATCTAAAGAGATAATCTTATTGTAAGCTAGCAAAAGACCATGTTGTCGTAGGTACCGTATAAATCTGAAATACTTTTTATAGTAAATTCGTCAAGATCAATCACACTTGACCAACCAACCAATCACATTATCCATGCGGACAAACTGAGTAGTTTAATTTTAATTCGATAGAATTCTCTCTTTCCCAGTTGCGCCCGGATTGGGCACTGTTTTTTCGAATTGCGCGCACATGTCCACAACAACAAATATTGTGGTTCCAAGAGACGAAGTTCTAGATCCGTTTCTGCTACCGCCCCCAGTGTGGGTAGACGACGAGTCGGTCAAAGCCTGCGAGAGCGAGAAGTGTGGGGCTACGTTTACGACACTGCGAAGAAAGGTAAGAAAGATTTCCTTTTACGAAATGCATGAGTTTGACCAGAATATGATGGGATAGCCAACAAGAAATTTTACAATATAATTTTCGCACCTTTTTTTGCTCGGATCCCCTGACCACTCAGCATCATTGTCGCCAATGGTAACGTAAATACGATCGATCTTTGATCCTTCCTGTCTAAATTCGCGTTAACTGGCTTATTTACTTTTACTATTATAGTGGCCATATCTTTTGTCAAGATTGTTCTTCTCGACGTCTTGCCCTACCTCAACTGGGAGAACTCAAGCCTGTTCGTGTTTGTAACGGATGCTTTAAAATTGCATACCTTGTCGGATATGTCATATCTGACGGTCAAAATATGCAGGTATTAATATTGAGACTGGTGATCTTGTCAAACTGGCTACCTTTTGATTGACCTTCAAATTGACTAGATTCATGGTGCTCGAGGACTGGCTGAAATTGTAGATCAAGGCAAAGGTAACTATTGGAATACGTGATTTCCGTAAATTGACTTAAGATTGACGCGATAAGCAATACTCTATTAGAGGAAGAGAAATCGAACTTGATAAGTCAAGGAGGTCTGGATGCTTTGATCTACTTGTGCCAACCACAACATCTGCCTGAACTTCACTTCTGGGCGACAACTGCTTTGGCTAAGTTTGTGCTTATAGGTAGGCGATTGAATACACATGCTTTGAGTTGCCTTGTGTCTAAACAGACAAACTTACCTTTAGTTCCTAATTGATAGAGGACCACATACCTACTCTTTTCATGAAGGGAGCACTGCCTTACCTCTATGTACTCATATTTCTCTATGCACAAAGAGCTTCCGCGAAACAATCAGACGAGCAATTTGTTTCATCTGCTAAACTGTTGGAACAGGTTTCAGTTATCCTACGTAATGTAGCAAGCATTCTTTTCCATATTTCTACATCAGGTCAGTTATGATGCCCTTGCTTTGCTATTCTACAGAAACTATATCGGGCGTTAAAAATTTCATTGTAACAATTGTCATTTCTGAAGGCAGAATCCCTAATGCAGAGAATGCTGATGGACAAGGCATTTGATGCAATCCTCATATTAGCAGGCTTTGAATTAGCCCCCAAGAAGATTGTTTCAGTAGAAGACTCGGACATTTCGTATGATGAAATATGTCTTAGGGTTGAGGAAGCGCAAGTATTGGCAGCTAAAACCATATCTTCTCTCGCCTCTAACCGTAAAGTGTTAAAGAATATTGTTAGCACATGCGTTCTTAACGATAACACATCGTTTCATAGCTCGGACTTTTTTTCCAGCTACAAATCAGCTTCAAATGATTGAAGGTTCAGATAATGGTCTTACTGGACTCATACAACTCCTGCATACAAAACAACCAGAAGTTGGTAGATATGTAGCGAAGTCTATTGCTTACCTGTCAACCAGAAATGGTAATTAACGATTGGCCAGATACTAAATAACATGGCGCGTTGCAGAATAATAAACTTTTTTTACAATTAGATAAATACAAGTCAATGCTTGTACAAGATGGCCGTGCTGAATTGTTGGCTTCCATCATTAAGATCACGGATGAGAAATTAGCCGTAGCCAACCAGATGACTATAGCACATACAGCATGTGCACTGGTATGTAGCATCGTATTCTATAAATGTATTTTCGAAGTTTGAGAATGTACGTTCATATCTCGTATAATTTTAGGCGAATCTTGCGACCAATGGTAATGCATGAGGATTGTCATTTGAAATGTGATGATTGTTTTTAAATATTAAACATAAGTCTATTTATATGTAGGTGAATCTCAGAGACTTTTAATAGAACAACCAAATATACTTCTAAATCTTTGTAATGTTGTCGCGACCTTCATTAGCAACAAAGAAGTCCAGCGGTACGTACATCTTACCACTAGTATGCATTTGATGAGTTTTATAAAGCTTGCAAGCGTACTTACTGTCGAAAATGATTATAAACATTTACGTAGACATATTGCACGACTGTTGGCTAATTTCGCACTATATGGTATTTATTGAAAGACATGCAAATTACGAGATTAAATGCGATTATTCGTCTAAAGTTATTGTTTTTTGGTAGATGATAACAAAAAAAGGATGCTTGGAGATATAGTTAATACAGAAGATACATCACACGTCAGTGTCGTAGCAGCACTCATAGCAATTGGAGATTCTCCTGTGGCTGATACCGAAATTCATAGACACATAGTTCGCGCATTCGACAATTTGTCGACTGCAGGTAGTAGTCTTGAATATTGGGTTACGGTTTTGAAAAATTCATTTATTAATTCCTTGTGCATTTGCTATCCTTAGTCGATATACCCATAAAGTCCCTTGCTAAACTTATTCCTAGCATTTCATTAATCAACCGTATCGCCACGACAGCTGTTGATGAAGATATTCGCAGAAGAGCTGCCCAAGTTATCAAGAAACTAGATCAAATAGAGAAGCTTCGGGAAGAATCGGATGAAGGGCCAAACGATCTACATTTTCATTGAGTCAATAGGATTGTCTTATAATTTCGAGAGGAAGACAACTTGAGTGAAATTTTTTGGTCTTCAGATCATGAAAAAGGTTTCTTACTTAAGATTGTAATTTTGCCGGCGCAGTATAAGCCACGCATCGTTAATTTACATTACATGCGAAATGACGGACCTTTATTTACAAGCGTGTACTTTACAATAGACGCACTTTTTGACAGAGAACTGCGAATGGCTGCAAATAAATATGTTTACACATTAAATAGTACGGAGATGTATTATGAATCATTATAATATCCGTATTAAGCTGCCTGAAGAAGACGGCCATCCGGTGATTTTTGACCCATCGTTCCATCATTTACGTAAAACGTAATATAATGCTTGGAATCGTTACGAGTTCAGCGATGCCAAATGGACAGAATTATTAATGTTAAAATTAGACGTCACTGCTGTGTTGTGATCCTCTATCTTACTATTTGTTGCAGTTTTTCGATCAATTGACAATAATAAGACGCGTAAGAATTCGAGAGGCACTTGTTATTTCCGTTTCTATAATATGTTTTGAGTTAACTCCAAGTTGAATTTGAACCTTTAATGCTGGCATAATTTGAAAATTCTGTTCGACACTTATAATATCAAACATACAGCACATGCGTAAATAGCATTGACATTCCAATCGATGAGGCTTGGCAAAGTAGAAAAGGTTGACTGAAAGGGAACAGTGGTTATATCTGAAGATCTATGTAGTGACCTAAAAAAATCACAAAAGGGCGCCATATTAGCGTATTCGATTGTCAAAATGAATTAGACAGACCTTTGTCGTGAAAGAGAATTGTATGAAGTAAAGGTTTACGATTGAAGAATAGTTTGAACACATATTGCGATGAATAGTTTACAACGGTTAACCGTGTTTGCTTAATAAGAAAACTGCTTCTGCGAAGGAAATTTACATATCATGGTCCAGATCGATAGCTAAGTTCAGTAACGGTCCTAAAAGCCGAACATTTCCGTGATACGAGCTCAGGTAGAAGCTTCTTTCTTCTACATCCCAAATCAGTAGAATGGCTTCTGTTCATCATAGCATCGTACCGGAATTGCTACTTTCGTCAGCACAAACACTCGTCAGCAAACCCCGAGAACAGACAAGTTGTACATCTAACATCAAGGGTCATATGCGAATTACTCCGGCGCACCGCTACAGAGCCTCTACATCCCATGTGCTAGCCTTGCTGTCTCAACCACAACCTCATCGCACCAGCTAGAAGAAAAGAACTTCTAGCGAAAAAGAAAAACCGGCGCAGGAAACCATGGGTTAGGGTTAGGGTACACCAGCCGCAGTAACGCCGTCACCTCCATTACAGAGGAAATCCCTAGCATGCTGCCATGGCAGACCACACTGGAACCGTGGTCCGTCCATCAAACTATAACCTGCCTTCATCACCTTTTGTTTCTCTGGGTAGTTGTTTCCTAGGCTCGGCAAGTTATAGGGCCCAGACGGAGAGCGTCCACTCCGGCGAAAGAACAAGGATATAAATTACATGGGGGGCAGCATAACAAGTGTGAGTGCCAACCGGACGCGAAAGTGATCAGATGTGAATGTGGTCAGATAGCTTGCAAGATCTGATTTTTATACTACCCCCTATTATCGGGAATCGGTGATGTCATTAATATAAAAAACTCGTGCCAAACCGGGCTGTGCATGCAGATCGGTAGATTGTCGAGATGGTTTCCATAAAGTCTTACACTATCGAAATACGGTCTTTCTAAATACAACGCAACAATATCGATGGTTCTATTGGTACTTACAGAATTCTCAAGAAACAACATGCTAATTATAATGTAACAGTGTTAATTTCATTACATACTGTACAGAATGTTACGGAATGTGCCACGTGCATCACATGAACATGACATGCTGATAATCAAAATTTTTGTGTACCGTTCAGAGAATGCTCCCCATAATAACCAGAATTGCCTTTTGCACTTTCAAACGTTTTTACTCAACTGAACTCTTTTTTTTTCCCGATTGACGCTGTAAGGACATTGTGTAAATATTAACGAAGTAGTTATGGGATGGTGTTTATTATTACCTCGCTCATTACGTTGAAAAATTGTGGCTGTAGGCATTACCATTGTTCGCGCGTTTACCTATGAGCGTTTGTAATAAAAATTTTCCAGATGTTACACATGATCTGTGACTGTATAGAGGGATTTTTAGTAATGGGGAGGGTCCCTAAACGCACGCTTTAAGGCCGAGGTTTGACTGTAGTTTATGTTAAACAAAATGATTACCCCTTCGATTACAGATAATGAGATAATACAAAAACTCACAAATTCGATAGAAGTTTGTTAAAGATCTGTATCGCAGAAACATATGGCAACAATAGTTTCGTATAATAGACTCATGGCATCATATGTTCGCTCAGGGAAATTAGTATATGCTAGAGAACTTTTCGCAATCATGAAAGCCAAGAACATGGTAGACGTAGCTTCGTATACGACGCTGATAGCTGCTTATGCACGTCTCAATGACATTTTTTCTGCGCGCAAGCTATTACACGAGATGCATCAAGTAGGGATAAAAATGGATATTAATCTGTACAATACTATGATCAATGCGTCTTTTAAAAACGATGACATCAGGAATGCTCAGAAGTATCTTGACGAGATGACCACTGCCGGACATAAACCAGACATTATTACATTCAATACTCTGATGACAGGGTATAGCAAGCTAAATAATACCATTAAAGTGGAAGAAATATTTAAAAGCTTAACCGAAGCAAATATAGAACCAAGGATAGATACCTACAATATATTATTGTCATTGTACGCCCGCAATAGAAGCGAAAAGGCTGCGCAGGTGTATGAAACAATGAGATCACAAGGAATTAAGCCTTCGATGAGAACTTTCAATTCTCTCATATTTATGCATCTTTCGAACAATGATCATCAGAAAGCTCGGGAAGTATTTCGTATGATATCTGAATACGGATTGAAACCAGACTTGATTACGTACAGTACGTTCGTTGCTGCATTTGTAAATAGAAATGACTTGCAGGGAGCGGAGGAGACGTTGAAGGAAATGAAGAAACAAGGAGTCGTGCCAAATGTATTCATCTTTAACAAATTACTGGCTGGATATCTACGGTCATATGGTTTATCTTCGTTCGAGCAGATATCAATCGAGATGCGTAACCACGGAATATCTCCTGACCATGTAACATATAATACGTTGATGCAATATATTAAAAAACAACAGAATGACGACAGTTTCGAAAAAGCTCTTGAGCAATATGCAAACATGTTAAAGGACATTATTCGTCCTTCTGATAGGACATTGAATATTTTACTTGATGCAGCTGCTATGAAAGATATTAGACAATCGGAATATCTAACGAGGCTTATGAAAGTGACAGATCAACAACCAAACAGCGGGAAAAAATTCATCAGAGCAGTCTTGCGTGAAATGAAGGCGAAAGGCATAGAATTGAATGTGGTTACATACTCCATCCTAATGAAGGGTTTTGTATATCATGGAGACATGGTAAGCGCGGAAGAAGCATTATGTACTATGAGATCGAGTAAAATACCGGCCAATAAGTATATATATACTCAATTAATAAATGGGTATAGCAAGATAGGTAATATAACAATGGTAGAAAGTTTGATTGAACACATGTCAACTTTGAACATATCCAAAGACGAGAAAGTATACACATCTCTTCTCAATGCGTATGCGTACAATGGGAGAATAAGCGACGCAATGCGAACGTTCGCGGAAATGTGGTCAGTCAAACTTACTCAAGATAATGTCACTTATACCTCTTTAATGAACATGTTTGCCAAGAAAGGAGACATATACAATACGCGACAAGTTTTTGATCATATGCGTAAGATCGGACTTCCTTCGGATGTAATATCGTACACAGTGCTATTGACAGCATACGTAATCAACAGAGATCCATACGGAGCAAGTAACGTGTATAAAGAGATGGTTGACGCAGGAATAGTTCCTGATTCGGTTGTTATGGTCACTATATTTTCGCGTTCCGAGAATGCCGTTGAGTTTGCAAAGACATTTTTATTGCAGACTGTTGGAAACGATACTGAGGCGTTTAATGCAATACTTATAAACATTATCATGGAGCCTGTTTTGGCCCAGTTGGCATATGAGCTATTCATATGGATGGCAGAGGGCACTCAAAAGGTATCAGACGGAATAGAGTTACCGTTGGAGCAAAACCAAATGAGACATACGCATTACAATAATAGCGCAAACAACAATATGCTTATCAATGACGATAACATTACTGTTATACCATCGTCACACCACTCAACATTAGCTCCAAACGAAAAGACATTTCGAATCATATTCCAAAGATTCGAAGAAACCAACCAAACAGAGTATATCCTCAAACTCTGGTCTCACTTGTATCAAATCGGCTATTTTCCATTGCCATTGATTGTATATAAAATTGTATTAAAAACATTATTAGAGAGTGGATCGATTGACAAGGCAATGGAAATATGGAAGATTTTTATGGCAACTAAGCCATCGCATTTCTCCCGGTCACAACTCAAAAGAGTGTTTGTACAATATCACGTAAACGTCTATTGAATATCAATGGAGAAAAATTTAAGAGGTAGCATTATATTGTATTGTAATAAACACTCCATTATAAGTTTTACAATTTGAGAGTTTTGGGTTTCTCCCACGGAAACTAATGAAGAGAAATGAGAACATATTAATAATCGTCAAATAATAATACAAGTACTCACTATCGCTCCGCCGTCTCTACAATAAACCTACCTCGTCTCTTCCGAAATGACCATACGCAGCAGTCTGCTCATACGACCATCCATCTGGTTTATGAAGCCCAAGTTCTTGTACAATAACTCCCGGACGCAAATCCCAGTTATTCTTTATAATGTCTAACAGTTCAGTATTGGACTTGCTCGAGGTGCCGTAGGTATCAACGAAGATTGAGAGAGGTTCGGCTACCCCGATGGCATAG